CAGAAGTGACTTGACTGCACATGATTATTATTTATTATTTTTCCTATAAATTGAATACCTTTCAGTATTGCTTACCTCAAATATTCTGCATTGCATGGACCTAGTCAGTGGTTCTTAATCATATACCTATTTCTAGTTATTTTCAGAGAAGCAGCCATATGTTTATTTGTTTAACAATCCAATCCAATTGAAAACAAAACATAACAAATGGACTAAATAAAATAAATTGTTGATTTTTTTTTACTCAGATCTATTTCTGCAAGCTACATGTTGATGATGGGACATTTGCAGGTTCAGCATAGCTCATCAGAAATGTTGGATTGATAAGTAAAGAGCCTCAAATTAGCTGTCATTCACATATTTGTAGAGTCTGCTCAGTTGAGTGTCAAGTGTTTCCTTTTAGAAAAAAAATCTGCTTTTTGAATAACACATTATCAGCATGATTAAGTGTTCGGCTTTGAATGCAGAGTGCTGTACTTGCATGGGGCAATTCTGTATTTGTTTTTCCTGTTTTGCAAATTGCTCTTGCAGAGAAGTAACAAGGAATCTTCAACTACCATTTGCAGAGCATTCATACATTTGCAGAAGAAATGAGGGTGGCTCCTTCCTGTGCTTTGTATCATCTACATCTGCCAGAGCTTCTTTGTGACATAACCATCACATTAGAGGTGCTCACTTGTGATAATTTTTTCATGATTTCTCCCCATACCATTTGTAATGGCATGTATTTGTCCTCAAATTCTACTGTATAATTGCAATTCTACAGTTATTCCAAAACTTATCATTACCTCCATTTATCTCTATTCTATGAACATACACATCTGTTTAGAAGATCTAGGGTTCATTCACTAGCCAGCTAGATGTATTCCTACACTATGATGGGGCTATTTATTATCTGATTATTATCTGATACCTTGTATATTATTACAATAGAAAGGAATAAGTTTATGAAGCAATTACAAGTGTCATGCTGTGCTGGCTGAAATAGCTCTTGGTAGCCATGGAACAATGCAGTCTTATTTGTCCACAGGATAAAATGTGAAGAGAGAGAAGACAAGTGGTAGTAATGAGAAAAGAAATGTCCTTTGTATTCTTTGGAGAATGATGAAGTATCATGCTGATAAGATGAATAATCCAAAATGCTTGCTCTCGTACAATATATTACTGAATTGGATCCATTTCTGCAGCAGAAAGATGACACCATAATAGATAGAAGGGATAATTTATATACTCCACCTGATATTTCTTCACAGTTGCTTACCACACTGTAATTGTATTATTGGTAAGAAATCTCATTTGCTGTGCTGCCAGGAAAACAGGATTGCTGATGAACACCAAAATCTATTCTTCAAAAAGAGATCTGAGACTTTGTTTATTAAAATTAGCATTTCCTTCATTGTCTTGCTAGGCAAACATGGAAGCAGTTACTGATTAAAAATTGTAATCCTCCCAAACGTGGACTTTTCTACTCTCCCTTATATAACAAATCGTAGCTTTTTAAAGATGGAATGGGCAGGTGGGTTAAATCTGGGTTCAGATATGTGGGCAACTGGGCTAAAGAGAATTTCTCTGCTCAGTCCTTCCCATAGAAACCCCTATGAGAGGAGACCCTACTGAATGGGATAAACAGTAGTGTGTATGTTATGGGGGCTGTCCTGCCCATCAGGTGGTGTGACAGTCCATGCATGGAGTCTTTCCAACCCAAGACTTCTTTTTATCTTTTAACAACATAATTGTATGATCCCTGAGATAGTATCCCAGGGGACATTGGAGAGGTGAGACCCCTCTCCCCCAAGTCAGAGACAGATGCCCAGTCTTTGATTACCCATTCTATGTCCTTAGCTCTTCACCATTCTCAAGTGAAAAGGGGAGGATTGGGATGTGGGAGTAGGTGGGCGAGCAGGCCATTTTGTTGGCAGGCTCTCTTTGACTATGAGCCCAACACAATTCGGAAACGTTTAGATTAACCCTGAATCAGGGGCTCAGTGTTTTTCCTACCACTGCAATGAGGGGACTGTAATAAAATTATAATAGTGAATCATGAGGAAGAGTAAAGCACTCCTACCTCATTTTTATCCCATTAGAAGAAAACAGACAGGGTTTTAGATTCGATGGAGATTCAAAATTGTAATTGGTGGCTCCCGAAATATCCCTGCTAGCATGGCAGTCTCCATGGAGGTTCTGAAGTTGGCACTTTCTGCAGTTAAGAATAAGATTAATCTGCTGGTGGTCCAGCAATCATAGCTGCAGGTTTCCTCCGTGAGACTGAATTTAAATCAAGTTTGATTCTGACTCATGGTGACTCTTTTCAGGGTTTTCTAGGTAGAGAGTACTAAGAAGTGGTTTTACTATTCCCTTCTTCTGGGGGTGTCCTGGGACTGTTCAGCTTACCCATGGCTACACAGGGTGGCTCTTTTCCCTGGAGACATAGCGGGGAATTGAACTCCCAACCTCTGGCTCTGCAGCCAGGTATCTAACCCACTGAGTTAAAACTACTGAAAAAAAAATTTAAACATGATGGTGTGCTAACTGAAAGCTTCCTCCTGGGATTGTCTGATACATAAATTAACTTCCCATAGAAAGTGTCGTAGTGCTAAACTGCAACAAACTCTGGAACAAAGTAAAGCTTGCTTTCAGGAGATACAAAATGGTTGGTAAGGTGCAGAGAGAAACCATATCTTGTTTTGCATTAAGCCAAGCAACCTAAGGATAGTGGGAAAACTCTGAAACCAACAATGCAGCTGCTGGTACTTTTACAGGAATTTTTGCTCATCTAGAAGAGCTCTTAGGAAGTTCATTCAGGGAATACCAATAACCTATATTCTCCAGTCTTGACATAGATTACATTTGACACGAGTGCTGTGAGAATTTTCTCCTTAGCATGCATCTTGTTGTAGCAAAACACCTGGCCCACAAAGTGCTAAAAACAACGGGGCACCTGCTTCATATGTCTCCTTGGTGACAAGACTGTTGAACAGGCTCCCAGTTTCTACCCTCTAGGATAGAAAAACATTTTTGAATGTAAAGTTTGCTGTTTCTACTTAGAACTTGCAGCATCCATCAGCAACCATGGAAGGAATGGATATAATGGGAGGCTGGGGCACTCAAGGGAACATTCTGTGCTTCCATTCAACAACCCCATGCTTTGGGAGAATTCATTTGAGGCTTGAAAAGTGGGAAGGGTTATGCTGAGTTTTTAATTGTTATTGGATGCTAAACAGAAGTAACTGCTCATTTTGTGACATACAATTTATTAAGGGACATAAGTCCTCCTCTGTGGTGACCTTCTTCTTAGGGAAGTATCCTTACAGTAGCCAACAGGTTCCCTTTTTAAAGGTTGTAAACCTGCCTGCTTTCCTCCAGCAGGACTTAATTTTGATCACATATGTAGAAAATTGCACTGGGAGGTTTTTAAACTAATATCTTTGCTAGTTTTTTTCCTGCTCTTGTTTTTATGCTACTTTTGGTGTTTAAATCAGATTTTACTGGTGATGATTTTTTAAAAGCATAAATCTTACGTGTTGCTTTGCACATCGCTTTTGGTATTTTGTTGGAAAGAAGACATACAAATGGAGTAAAAAGCACCAGAGCTTCCTAATGTAAATAGTGTTCAGAAGCAACACTGAATAAATTAATGAACCTGCCCTTTCTTATTTTGGAAAGAGAAAGCAATCTGCCAAAAACAGGAGTTCTAAAAAGATTTTAAGAGATTGTGTTGAAATTACTGAATTTATTTTTATTTTTATTTTTTTGCCTGCAGATCCCTGGCCCTATCAAATCTTTTACATAGGATATTCTGGATTTTGCCTCTAGATAGAATGCCAGTGTCTCTAGGCTTGTGTTCAGTTAAGTGCTTATTCATTGCATGCCCTTTTGAAATCAGTCTGCCTGTTTGTTTTATAGTCAGAATGTGAGTTTAGTTTAACCACTGAAAAAAACTCAGTCTTATCTTATAGCCCCATTAAACAAAAATGTTTCACTTCAAAGAATTCTTTAACATCTTGCATCTGTTCCTGTTGACCCAACTTATTGCAGCATCTTTAGAAAAATGGCTTACAAAAGCATCTGGCTATTCTTAAAGTTGAGCAACTTTCCTACTTTTAGACAAAGTAGCTGCATTAGTCTGTGCTAGTATGTCAGGCAAAACCAAAACTAAAAATAACAAATTAAAGAAGACCAAAACGTTTTGGTGCCTTGAAGACTAACTGCTATATGTTAAGGTGAGATTTTGTGGACAAGTCCACTTCCGACACCTCTTTCTTCCTCTTGCAGTGGTATACTGGAGATGATTTTTTTATGCTGAAAGATGAGCACAGAACTCTAGATAAATAGCATGTCAACCCTGATGCCAGAAATCCTATTTTTCTGCATAAAACTGGACACTGTAGATGTTCGCAATTTTGCTTTAAGGTTTGAGTTCAGTAGCAAAGGAAACAAAGTAGACAGCCACCATCACCTTTCTTCACATTTCCTTGACACAAGTAAAACTGATCTGATGGGCACGTTTTAATCATCCCCTCCAAATTTAAATACAGTATAACAAACATTGAGCACGCTTAATTATTATGGTTATTATTATTTTGCTTCTTTTTTCCCCTCTTGACTTTATGAAGTCACCAGCCTGGATGACCCACAGATTGAGCAGGGAAGAGCTTTACCCTTGATTTTCAGGGAAAGGCCCCTGCCCCTATCATGAGTTGCCTATGAATACCATTATTATATTTCTTCAGTAGTGAGAAACTAGTTTATATTTTTATTTACTTTTCTTTTCAAACCACACATTCAAGTATTTTCAGAAGTCGAAAGAACTTGATATAGACATTATAGAAGCTGGGAACTTGAAATGTGGATATTATATGTCTCTCTCTCACTCACACATACACAAGGAGTGGCCAAACAGAAGTGTGAAAGTTGCCTAACTATGCTTTAGGCCACTGGTTCTTAACCTTGGGTTACTCAGGAGTTTTGGACTGCAACTCCCAGAAGCCTTCACCACCAGCTGTCCTGACTGGGGTTTCTGGGAGTTGCAGTTCAAAAGCATCAGAGTAACAAAGGTTAAGAACCACTGCTTTAGGCTTAAAACAGTTTTGGAGTGTACTGTAATTTTTTCTTTCACATTTAGAAGTCTTCCTACTGTTCCAGCATGAGATAGTTTATAGAAAAGTCTTCATTAAAATAACTTGAGCATGAAAAAATAATATTATCTGAAGCTGAATATAAACATTATAGATAAAATACATATTTACATAGTATCAAAATACAGTTTTATACAACAATATCTATTATATTTAAATTATATACTTTAACATGTCACCAGATCAATAAATTATACACCACTTCAAAGGCATCTGGCACTTTTATAGTGCATACAATATTTTAAAAATTAATTAAACAACAACAGATATGGCTGCAAAAAGCAGGAATCTGTTAGAGCCTTAGTGCCTTGAATACACAGCATCTGAAAGAAAAAGAAAGCATCAGTTAGAAAAGACACACAGACTGGCTTTGTCTTTGTCATGGGACCACAACACTGATAGAGACAGGATATTGTGTGCAAAAGTGCAGGCAAATGTGTCTTAGAAAAAGGCACAGGATGTTGAAAAAATTCCTAACAAGACATTTGTGTCTTTAATAGCTACATGGAAAACAGAAAAGTCAGTGAGGGGAACTGCTTGCAGCATGCAAATATTTTGATAAGCAAAAGTTTGCATACTGATACTCTGTTCTCCATGGTGCTGCTGAAGGCATAGGAGCCCTGTGAGAAAAAAAAAACCTGTGGTCACATATTAATGATGGACATAGGGTTCTCTGTGCTACAGACATACAGTGCAACCCCAAAGTGACTGTACCAAAATTAAGACCCACTGAGTTTAGTAGGATTCATTCCCACCTAAATGTATATACAAGATTGTTTTAAATTGGTCTAAGAGTGTTTCCTTCATTGACGGGAACCCTGGGAAGTGTACTACTGTGAGAGAGGCTAGGTTTCATTCTTTCCTTTCCCCCTTTACAGCTTCCATTTGTGCTGTGAGCCGCCTTAGACTCCAGCATTTGAAACATATAGAAAATGATCTCTGATGCAGAATTCTCAGCATTACAGAATTGCAATAATCCCACTTTCCCTATCCCTGATCTAAATGGAACCTAGTTTTCTGAATGTTTCCAGCATCCCTCTCTCAGCAAGCTTTTTTTAAAAAAAAACCAGGTATACTGGCTATATTGCAGCAGGATAGTAAAATTCATTGCAAATTCGCCACGTCCAGCAAAGAGAGCTGGAAAGCTGGGTCAGTTTATTCCTGCGAGGATTATCCATTTGGTGTAGTAAATGCGTCCAGTATTTTATTAGCACAATATATTCTTCCTCCTTCAGAAAGTTCACAACTTCAAAAGGTCACAAGGCATGGGAGATTATTGCATAAGAACTTTAAAAGCCATGACTGAGCTCAAGTGCAAAATCAATATTCTTAGAAAAAAAATTGCCTGATTTTTCTCCCCTTAGAGACTGTTTAAACAATAGAGATGTTACTGGGTGAGTCTGAAGAAATGAAGAATAAACATCCATGAGAACTCATTCAAAACAATCAGACTGAAATTTTAGCCCGTTTTAGTGGGACAATACCTGGACATTGCACCACAGGAAGTGTAAGGCACATTTGCTGCAGAACAGGTGAACATTACTTTTCTGTGATTATAGCTGCCAGGATCTTCCTGCTAGTTTTTGTTAATGCAGGGCTGGTAAAACAAACCATTTCCCAATTTTGGACGAAGGAGACTGCATGTACAACACCCTCAATCCCCTTGTTTGTGGGGCTTGTCTTCCCTTTCAGCCAATAACGGCTCCCCACACACAGCCGCTGGGTCTGGTCTACATTCCATTTAGCAGAACCTACCGTCAGCAATGGTCATGCTGACCGGAGGGATCCAATCATCAAGGCGGGGCTTTGCCAACTTACCTGGATTAACATGTGACTTTGGGTGGCCGAACGCAAGGACGGCCAAGGGGCGTGGGCAAGTCAGAGGGCATTTAAAGGGGGTTCTCCCTTTGTCCTCCAGCAGCCATTGCTGAACGGGCAACCCACCTGCCCACCCTATTTTCTAGTGTGAGATTAGCTGGTTGCTCTATTGGGGGCCAGATAGGAATTTTTGACCCGCCACCCAATTGGCCAACGGAGGCGGGGGTTTTTTGCCTATCCCACACTGGACGAGGAGCGTTGGCTTAGCGAAGGTGGTAGCATTCGGTCACACGGGGCGGGTAGTGCGGATTCCATTTAACAGAACCCACCGTCAGCAATGCCTCCCTCCAAACAAAACCGCAGGTTTAGCTGCACTTAATGAAATCTGGTTTGCTATATGCGGGGAGATGCTAGAGGCTTGAGGAAAGGTGGAGCAATGGCTACAACCATCAGCTCTCATATTCAGGCCCGAAGCTGAAATATGTATGTGGCAAATTACTGGAATGGAACTGTTCAGAGAAGAAGGCACAAGGGGGAAAGGGTATGTGTGTGTGGAGGAATCAAAACAGAGATTATCTAAGAGATAACATGATCCAAAACAAAATGTTACCAGTAGTCACACTACTTATTTAGTAATCATAAATCTTACTAATTTGGAAAATTTCTTTTAAGATGAGTGAATGGAACCTGGGTGTTCTTGGACAGCAACTCCCAGAAACCCTGGCTGGCATAACTGGTGGTGAAGGCTTCTGGGAGTTACAGCCAAAGAACACCAGGGTTACCCAACAGAACCAGTGCTCTAATATATGGTTACTACTGCTTTCTTAAAGATTGTTCAGTTCAGGCTTACCTCTGTGATACTCTGGATTCACATTTTCATAGATTGGGAATAAGGGGTTTTCCTGTTCACTCCGTAGCTTTCTTGCCCTTAAAACATCTCTGACACACTGATGTAAATATACGTACTGACACTGCAAGGAATAAAGAGCATGTATCAAAACAAGGAAGTTCTCTGCAAAAGAATGGCATATCCTTCTAGACATGCAAATAACACCTTAAGCCATTAGAGGCCTGCCTCCTTCACAGATCTTATTGGAGTGATTAATTGGGATGTGTGGAGAAATTCCTCCAGTTCCTTTCTCCAGTCCCACTTCTCTCTTTCCTCACCTTTTAAAGCTGTGAATGGGATAAAATTCCTATTAAGGGAATTTCACAAGGGAAGAAAATCAGCATGTCACCAAGCTCTTCTTTAAACATGGAAATGAGAGTTTAACATCCATTTCCTGCAACACTAGCAACATCCTGTAATTGCACCCTGGCAATTATGTTCCTCACAGCTGGTATACAGAGCTGTTTTTCTGCACTTTGCACTAGAGTGCATCATGTGCAATGGTGCAACCAATTGCAAGGACAGCATGCAAAGCAACTACAGGTGTCCTCATCAGTGCTATCACGGAATGTAAAGGACTGCGATTGTGTGAAAGCCCCAAGCATTGTAGGTCAGTATAGGTTAGGCTTCAGCTGTGATGCCTGTTTAGACAGTTCAGAAATGTACAAACTGATTTTCGATTTCGATTTCGATACCTTTATTGGCATATGAACAGACAGGAGCAAAACGTAGATACAAACCAAACAATAATCAAGAGAAAAGTAAAGCGAGAAATACACTCAAAACAGCAAGTAATATCATAGGTTATGGGTTAAAATAGAAATTTCCAATAGATATCCTGCAACGGCAGATGTAATCAAAGGACAGGACAACTACAGGTGTCCTCATCAGTGCTATCACGGAATGTAAAGGACTGCGATTGTGTGAAAGCCCCAAGCATTGTAGGTCAGTATAGGTTAGGCTTCAGCTGTGATGCCTGTTTAGACAGTTCAGAAATGTACGAACTGATTTTCAACCTCTCCTGTGGTTGAACTGATTATGCACCATTATGAGTTTCACGTCTCTGCCCATTTTAAAAAAATAAACATCTGCCCACTTAATTTTATTATCCATATTGAAAAAAAAAAGATTGAGCTCTTTTTCCAAACATCATGATAATGAATTATAGGAAGATTTACTTGGTAAGTAAACAGAGTACACAAAAATGCTATTTCTCTGACCTTGCAGCTTCTAAATAGTAAGCTCACAGATAAGTGTCTATATATCCTCAGCTGTGCATCCTTCTTTATCTCTGCCTATTTGTCTGATGGATTTTAAAGCATACCCAGAGCTCCTAAGTACTGTATGTCTTATCTTTTGAACCACAATCTCTTTTACTAAGCCTAATGTTCTGAAACATCAATGCTGTTTCACTCATGGGTGAATATATATATATATATTCCTGTATATATATTCCAGAGTGTCTGTAAATTATATTCCACTCTGGAATATATATATTCAGAGTGGAATATATATATATTCCAGAGTGGAATATATATATATATATTCCAGAGTGTCTGTAAATTACTGTCCATATAAATGGATGGTGAAATAAGCACTTTGCTGTAGCTGGTGAAAATTGTGTTAGTGTTTTTCCATTGTACAATGTTGCATTTGTTGTGAGGTTTGTATTACACACAAGCTGCCTAAGAGTTGTTCAGCAAGTAGATTTTCCTCATTTTTGAAAAGTTAAATAACTAAGCATTTCTTTCTGCAACATTTAATGTGTACGCCTCCCCAAACAGAGTAAAGAAGTGGGAACAGAATAATCCTCAGGTCAAAGTGATGGGAGATGAAAGCCACAGTGCTATACAAGCAGCCCTTTGTCATGGCAAGGCTGATTGGAAATTCACAGCTGTTATACAATGGCTCAGCACTTTTCAGAGGTGATGCATGAGGTGCAAGAAGACATAGAAGGATGAGTTTAGGACTTGGAAGCTGAGTAGTGGAGGGGGAAGCGAAGAAAGTGGAAACCCAGAGTCAGGGTGATTACAGGAAGGAGGGAACAGGCTGAGAAATGGAAATTCTGGGCTTGCTAATGATTTTCTGCTCTTCTCCAGAGAATGAGGCATACAGGTCTGCCTCCAGTTGCTGTCTTTAAGCCAAAGCACACATTATCTTAAATGTGCAGTGTAGTAATGTATGCTTAATATTTCTACTTTACATAATGGTTCAATCTTATCCTGGCTGGAGCTGTGTACGCTGAATACAATAACAAGAAAATGAAGCATGCGAGGCCAGCCTGGAGTTTAAAATAATGTGTACTTTGCCCTGGTGTGTTGGTTTTATGTGGCACTTCTTATTTGTTTCACAAGGAGGGCATGAAACAGTGGAAGGTGTTGGCCTATGGGGCTTTAAAACGAACAAACCAACCAACAAATGTATTCTTGAAGGCTCGAACCAACAAACCTTCACTGCTTTTCAGAGCTGAAACCCTAGTTATGTTGCCCCTTTCCCAGTCACTTGAGTTGGGATGGTGAGGGGAGTACAGTTTGCAAGAGGATGTGCACATTCTCATGTTTGTTTTGTTTACATGCCCTCTGCATCTAGTGTTTAATCTGGTTCCAAGGAAGGCCTGAAGAACAATTCCCACCCGTTGCCCTAGTATATTTGAATGAAAACACTTTTAATGTGGGTTAGAGGTCTCTAGTTATTTTGAAATTATAATAAGAACATTCTGCATCTGGCACTTACCTCTGTCTGAACCATGTGGACCCTGTGAAGCCTTAGGTCATACACTGCCCCGTAAATATCTACAGAATCCTTCGAGTCCAACTGCTGAAGAATTCGATCCAATGCGATAAATGTCCCTGTTCTACCAACTCCAGCACTGGGGGCAGGTGAGGGGAGGAGAAGGAGAGAGAAAATGGAAACACATCAACCTTTTTCCTTCTTCTTGCTATTGTTACATGCAGGCAACTGGGCAACTTTAAGTTCTGCAATCTCACACTAGCTTTGCAGTTTCATCCTATAGAAGATTTTGTGTTTTACTAGGAGAGAAGACCACAAATTCACAAATGGCCTCCACTGGGCACTTGGAAAAAGTGGTCTCATGCTGGCAGCTGTTGTGGATAAAACCTTAGCTGTTTACCAGCTATCAAAAGTCTTACCTTCTCAGTGATCCTTGAAAACAAATTAAGAGCTACTGTAATACTGTATGAAGTTCTTCCTATTCTTCATGGAGAACTGCTGTTCTGTTCCTACCTGCAGTGTACTACAGTTGGCCCAGCTTGGGGTGTTCGGTTGATATAATCCCGTACAGTTCTCACAAACTGGATGAGAGACTGGGTGGTTTCTGGTACACCATGGTCTGGCCACACAGTGTAATGAAACTGTCGGACCAATCTAGAGGAATCAAGCTGCTCTTCCTGTAAGATGAATGAAATTCAGAGGGGAAAATTAGACACAGAGAGCAGACATTTTACAACTTTACAATTCTATGGTATTGTATTGTCCTGCTTTTTTTGGTGATTATTGTAGGAATACGGGTAAGGACTGCTTTCTTTTTTCATTTGTTTGTTCAAATGTGCAAATATCTCTCTTTTGGATGAACAAACATAAATTGATTGAGAACGATCTGGCAGATGGGAAGCTATATTGAAATTTATGGCACCACATTACTTAGCCACACAGCACCACACATTAGTATATATTTGGCAGGAAATGCTTACCTGCTATTATTTAAAGTGAAATATCTGCAAGCTTTTTCAATACAGATATGTCATCTCGGTAGGTTGACTTAGAATGTGGAAAAGAGCTTCCACACAGCAAGCTAAACATGTGTATACAGAAGTAAATTCTATTGGATTTTACTGCTCAGTAAAGAGGTACAGGACTGCAGCCTCCATCTACCACAAGGAACAAAATCACAATGCACTGAAATGCACCACTATGATATGACTTTTTTTAGAAAGCTTGCTAAATAGTTAGATATACTTACACTGCAAACTTTAAACTCTCGTATTGTCCATTCTGGTAGCACTGATTCAGATAACATCTGGACAATTAAATCTCCATAATATAAGGAATCCTGGTCAAAGGGCCAGTAATGGTCACATTTTACCTATAGACAAATTGAAGAATTTACTTAATACAAGAGCATGGTTACTTTTGTATCTATGTTGCTTTTGTTGCTCAGTAAGCAAAAATAACATCAACAGAACAGAAATAAACCTGGACCCTTTGCATTTAACTTCACAAGGCTACTGTGAAGCTCAGCACACTCTTGATAAGTGTATACTTGGATGACTAAATTTGTGATGATACATACACTTTACAAAATATAGTATAGCATCAAAACACAAATTACAATTGTAAAATGAGCCAGCTGGTGCAGCTGAGTATATATATTGGGCAATTATGCATAACAGAGAGCATGATTACATGCAGAAAAACCCTGCATTTAAATCAGGTTTAGCATGTTTGAAATTTATTTTTAAAAAGATGACTACGTAATGCACATGGAAGCATATATACATATATATTTGCTTAGGGTGTGTGTTTTTGTTGGAAACCAAGGTATTTTACTCATATGCAAGAGTGTAGTTTATTTTAAATTGCTTGTGAAATTGATTTGTAACCATTTTGGCATATGTGAATGCCTCTATCAGTATAAATTGTGTCTGTGGGGTTTGCAACTCACTGATGTGCCTTTCATGCTCCCTCTCCTTCTTCACCTCCTATGTGTGCGTGTGCATGTGTGCGTGCATGTATGTCTGTGTCTCTCTGTATATGTGTTAAGGTGCAGGGAAACCTCTGTTTTATTTTTTTCTTTCTTTCTGACATTCTGTCCTAGCAATATGCCAGACTGCAAAAAATAAGAAATAAATAAAAATTATTAATAATAACACCACAGCAGCAATGGCTAGTGGCTCTGAGAGGCAGCCAGTGCGAGGGCAGGCAGGAGCATGACAAAGCCTCAAAGGCAACAATTCTAATAACCGGTGTAACTCTCTTGACAGATATATAATGCAGTTTAAATACAGACCAAAAGCTTTCCCAAGAGGACAGACAGGCTGACCCAAAAAGCAAGTGACAACTATGAATTCAAAACCCCCCCCCATTTATTTCAGTCGTGTAAATGTGCCCAAACCCCTACTGCAGGCATAAATCTGTCAAAAGTGAAGCAAGGTGGAGTATGGCAAGCCTGAGCAGAATTTAGCTTCATGTGGTATTGCAGATCAATCCTACAAGCACCTTGCCAGGGCCTGAATTCAGGAAAGATACTGTCAGTACTCCCTGTCAACATGCTATTTGGTTGTGTTGATACTAGAAGGAGAAGAAACCATGTTTTAAAATTATGTCTTTCTGTATTTTCCTCTGTCAATGAATTTACAAACACCAGGCACCAAAAAAGCCTAACAGTGAAGACACTAGAAACATTCACACCTAGCCAATAGTATTTATGGCCTACCTCAAATAACAAAGTAACTCTCTTTTCTGCCCAAACTGCCCATTTGAAGTAACAGATGGCCAAGCATTAGAATGCAGGGAGGAGGACGACAACAAGGATTGTTGTAACATTCACCATCTTGAAGGCCATATATCCAGGGCCCAGGAAGAACATACATAAACAAATCAATAGATAAGAGAAATAGATACTCTTGCCCCCAGACTTTTAGGTGCATCTTGGGTATAGGTCAAGGAAACATGAGGGCAGAAAATGTATATTTTCTAAATGACCAATTGATTAGCTTAGTTGGCATCTCTAGCCCAATGAGACACTGGGTCCAAAGTTGACATATAAATGACCAATAGAATTGTAGTAATTTTAGGACTCTTTGTTTGTATCATTATAAAACATGTGTACACTGTATTTTCTGGGCCTTCTCTGCTTTTAAGAGAAGTCCCAGCTGACCTTTTCTTTGCTGCTATTCAAATAAAATTGGGCCTTTGGGTCAGTTGTTGTGTCTATGCCTGATTCCTTGACAGAAAACTTTAGAACCCAGATTTGGCCAGTAAGAGTGTGAACTGATAACCAATGTCTCAGTTTTCCTTGCCTGTGGTCTAACCTATACAGAAGAAAGAAAAGCTCTGACATGCAAACATCTGGAGAATCTTTAAGCAGTTACATCTGGTGAAGTGCTAGAAATGAGTGTGTATGTGCAAAGGGCTACTTGCACTGATTTCATTTTTCCTCTGTAGACGCTGGCAACACTCATGCTGTTCCTTAAGATGTTCCAGCTCTCCAGAGCAGTTTCAAGGGGTGCAGAGGAGAGAGAGAATAAGTGAGAAATTGTTCCATGACTGTGACTGGCACTTCCCTCACACAGACTTTGGATTCACACAAGTACACTTGTTGTGTGGATGCAGTGCCTTGAGGAAGTGGCTCATCTGAATATTGGATTCCATTAAGAAATAGGACTGAAAGTAGTAAACATATTTAGTGAACCAAATCCTCCTTTCTGCACTTAACACGATCTAGTTAAGAAAGTCTGACTTTCCACATTGCATAGCCTCTCCAAGTCAAAAGGCTTGTTGGATAGGCCTTTTCTTGCATAGATGACAAAACTCCTCCTAAATGTAGAATGCAACAGTTCCTGATTGTTTTGGGGTTATCTTAGTGCCCCCGTCAGAGGAATTAACAACAGAAAAACTATTTACTCACCCGGCCCTTCTCCACACACTGGGTTACCATGACAACATTGTGAACATTCTGTTCCCAAGCCATTTTCCAGAAATCATCCTTTGTGCCAGGCAAAGGTCCTTGAGTTGCAATGTATTCCCTACGAAAATTATTGCCCTGCCAATTCAGAAGACTATGATTAGTTGAGATAGTGCCATAGTAACCAGACACTGCTTTCCTGGGTACCTGTCTCTTAAAAAAAATGTTTTAAGAGTCCTTCAGTGCTGAAGAGAAAAATAGCAGAACTAAAAAGATGGAATGTGTCTCCTATAGGGGCACATAATCTATCTATCTATCTATCTATCTATCTATCTATCTATCTATCTATCTATCTATCTATCTATCTATCTATCTATCTATC